AGGTACCTCAACCCCAGTTCAACTGTAAAATTTGTAATAGTTCTGATGTACCCTGTATAATTTTTCTACAAAAAGGTAAAAATTTGAAACTGGACTAAAAAATATTAAACCATATTGTAGATAGCGTTATTGGTTCAAGAGAAATTTTCAGCTGCAACAAAGAACACCCTATTATANAGATATATAATATTTGTTATCCATTTTCATGTTTAGTTTGCAGTTAGTTCTCTGTTTAGTTCTAGGTTGGCATTGTTTCTGATTTTCTGGCTACTTGATATTGGACAGACAATGCGTGAAAATCATGTGATAAATCAATGAACGTCTCGATATAAACATCTTTCATAACCGTTATGAGAACATACATTCTTCATTTTCCGTAATACAGGGGCTAATTGTCTCCGGCTGTGTTTTACGAGCGTTGTTGTCGAGTGCGTTTTGTGAAAATGGGCGTGGCGACTGACCAGCTCGTAAATAATCGTTTTTCTGAGGCGGTAAATCCAGCCGACAACGTTGAGTATGACCGTTTCGAATATCCAGCATTATTTCTCACTGTGGGCTATATTCGACCGTGCGAGTTATCTGTCAGTTTCTCTTTTGGAACATTAACTCGATTTGACAAAACAACAAAAATTATTATACGAAAATACGAGCTCTGCTACGCCATAATTCAAGTCAAGATCGGTTAAATGTATGAAATATAAAGCACAAAAGCAAACAGGTTCCTTTGATGATTACTTCTTTACTCCTCAAAGAAGAAGAAGAAAGTTAAAAAAAATACACTGGGTACTGGAATAACTGTCCATCTAAATATTTGTTCAATTGGCCAATTCAGTCAATATATTTATTTATTCTTCTGTCAATCTATTAACATAATTGCCCCTAATTTTCTTGCCATGATTGCAATAAATTACAACATGAAAATAGAACAAACTTTAATTGCCACCGTTGAAATAATAAAAGAACTAATTCCTAATAATCACTGTTTACTTGTTACACATGTCTGCGCTTGATTTTTGTTTTCAATATAATATGCATCAATGATACACCTCATGAATAACAAATATGGCATAAAATTTCATCCTCATGTCCCACTCAAACCTTCTGAAGTTAAGTAGTAGGGGAAAACGTGGTATTGCCGGTCACTTAGCTTCCAGATATTGCACCATGTTTCATGGTTGAGACAGAGATTTGTCTATAGTGTGATTCAGTATGAAAGTTATTCATGTTTCAGTTGCTACAATCAGTATTTTAATTGTAAACATATTTATAAAATGTGTAAAATGTAAAACAAGTTTGAAGGCAATACGCTGTTCTCTCCTACATATGGAAATACCCAAGTAGAAAATCTCTTGAACATGACCTAATTGTCTTCATTATACTTCAAAATCTTCCTAAGACGGCTATGGTATTTTTAACCACAATATATGATGGAATCTTACGGACCACTAAATTTCCTCCCTCATCCGTAGTCATTCTACATTCCTAAACCTATAATCCCTAATCCTATCCTCCCACTTAACTATACCTAGAGATCCATCAGCTTTCTTCCTGTGATGTCCAATCATCGAAAGATTCTTTTAACCCGTTTAATACCTATCCTAGATTGACGTAAATCATTCCATTTCAACAATCCGGCTTCCGACTACATCACTGCACGATCCAGCATGGTTTCAGAGTCATCGGTACCATTTCCTCCCCTCTAGAGAACATACAGTATTGGGTACGTTCCTGGATGTAGGCTAGCTTTTGGTATTCAAGGCATGAAATACATACATAACACAATAAAGAAAAAATGCAAATCACTTTAAATAATTTTTTCTCTGCTTCTAGGGGTCGGTGGCAAAAGCATTTGAGCATAATTCAATCTAGCCAGCAAAAACAGTTCCAGTAAAATTGGTGGACCCATGTTCGTAGCCTTCCTTCGTAAGTTTATTTCCATGATATTTGTGTTTAAAGATTGTAGTAACTACACAGACAGATTCGCCCAGAAAAGTAAATATTTTGTGCATTCATCAAATTGAAAGTAATTATTTTACCTGTTATTACCAAAAAATTGTAGTGATTTCTACAAAACTATCTATAAAAATTCGTATTTAAGCGTGCTGTTTTTAAGATTTTTAATGCTTTTTCTAGTGATGTGCTTTATGGGAAAAAGTTGTGAAATGCTGAAATAACATGAAAGGTGAAATACCTCGAATACGATTGAGAATCAGACTATCATCAATAGGAACTTTTTTGTCCCATTTGACATGTAGAAAAACCACTGAAATATTCACGACTGATCACGGGACACCCTTTATAATAAATCTGAAATTCATGCACAACAAAGCATAAAAAATAGTTTAAAAAATCACTTAAAATATTTTATTCTCGGTTCCCAGGATTTATTTGAAAGAACGTTTGGACACGTGAGTAATATTTTTCGACCTAATATCACCAGAAAATGTTTCATTATAATCGGTGATCGTTAGCCTCCCCTTGTCAGTAAAACTGTCATACCTCACTCTGTACATTGAATTTAGTTGCAAATAAATCACGTCACCATTATTGGATTAGTATTGAGTTTTTAGACGAAAAACATTTTACTGCTGAACTTCGAGCACTTCGTCCTTCGACAGTTTCTCCAAACATTGAATTGTCTATGTGAGCTTCGTCAAAGACCAAAACTTATCAATGTCCTTATTATTGTCCTTATTTGTTTTCTTTCTTTAAATTGTTAACTGATTAGACCTAGTATAAATTTTTTTCGACAATAATTTATTAAAAAAGTCAATCGCAAAGCACAAAATTAGTGCTTTGGGCTGAAAATAATATGTCAATATTTACATGTTATTTCGCGGAGAATCAGAAGGGAACGAGCTCGATTTCTACTTTTTATTTACCTAAAATATTTAAACATAAGTTACACAACAATTATAAGACAAATAATAATTTATTACTAAATAACTGTTTGTTTTAATTGTTAGTTTAGCTTGACACGGCGCTCGTCACTGTAATGCAAAAGTCCGACAAACTTACAAATGGGTTTTTTTACAAAAATACCATCAACCCGGGTTTTTTATTTATTTATTTTTTTATAGTGGATATAAAAAACCCGGGGTTTGATATGACCTCTGCTGTTTCCAATATCCGTAAAATAAATAATAAATAATAATAATAATGTGGGGAAATCTAGGGGGCCGACAAACAACTGACACCATCGCCAGCTCTTTGTATGTTTTACTTATTTGTCTGGTCTTTCCCGCATTATTTTCAACCTAAAGCACTAATTTTGTGCTTTGCGATTGAATTTTTTCATAATTATTGTCGAAAAAAATTTATACTAGGTTTAATCAGTTAACAATTTAAAGAAAGAAAACAAATAAGGACAATAATAAAATCTTCTGGTAATATTACTACCAAGCTCTTTTAATAAAGCTTCACCGGACTGCTTAATAAACATCTTTAAAAGGGTTACTGCATTGCTTTCTGTATCTCTGTTTAATTAAATAGGTAATGTCTTTTTGAGAACGACAATAGCAGTGAAAAAACCTTGTTGTTAAAAATTTAAAAAAATCCTTTTTTTAAATATAGATTAGAATTTTTTTAAATTAATATTTGAAGTACGCTTTAATTGTGAATTAAGGTAGGACAGAGCAATCTGTACAGCAGGCTAATAAATGAACCAGACGTTAAAATAAAAATTAAAAAAGTAAAGGAAAGAGAGACATGGGGTGAAATGTCTTGGGATAATAAAAACTTCCAGCGTTTTACCTCCGACGAGCCAGCCGTCGTGGGTATTAAGCTCCCGTATCGTTCTAAGGATGTTAATAGGTATCAAAATTCGAAAAAACTGCAGGACGAAGACCACCCCCGTGGGAAGGAGGAAACTTTTTCTATCTTCGTCCTCCTCGCACCATGTAATCTCTATCGGGGATGAAACACGCAAATACCATTTAAGAAAACAATTTCCACCTTGTTAAACGCAAGTTTAAACAGTTGAGAAGGGAAAATAGAAACTGGCACGTATTTAAACCAAAAAAAGTCAAGTGAATTATCTGTTAACTTTATAACGTTTAGCGAATGGGCCAAAAAATCGATAGTGTCATAAATTAGTCTTTTGTGGTTTCCAAGTTTTTTTATTTTTGTTCCAAGATGTTATAATAAAGTAGCCTTTTCTTTTTCTATTGTGATATCTTTTCATTATTATTGTAATACTTAATTGTTACTCTTCATCGAGATGAATTTTTTTTGGACGGCGTTTGGTTTAATTTTAATTAACGATTTTATATAAACTGAAAAGGAGAGGCCATCATGATTTTTTTTGTCTAGTGGGGTGGTTGGATTGTTAATGTTCGTTTTAAGAGAAAACACCCCTGGAAACGGACATTACTGACGAGTGGGCAGAAGACCCTTTCATTTTTTAAACCAAATTATTCAATTGTAAATTTTGTGATTAAAAAACCAACTCTTTATTAAAACCTACGCAAATTGGCTTCATATTTTCTGTGCTATGACGCTAATGAACCTAAAAGGTTAGACCAAAGGGATTTTGAAAAGGGGGATATTTAAGATAATTGGCCGTTGTGACAGAGTTACGATAGCAAACTTAACTTATAAGACTTACGGGGATTTCAGTCTGACATGTATGCACGCTGTGGAAAATAGTTCTACCAACTTACAACCTGTCGAAAGTTTTCTCTTAAACATAAAATCATTACGAAAAATATTTACATTATTTACAGCAGCGATATTTTCTTACTAAAATACGAGAAGAAAGAAAATAAATAAGAAAATTGTTTGTTAAATATAGGTATTATTAGGAGTATTATACCACATTAGTTTTATTTAAGTGATCGTTAGATCGTTTATATTCAAATAAATGCCCAGTTTTGAACAAGAAATAAACGTCAATAAAAATACGTTCCAGTGCTTAGCTGAATATCTTCGCGGAAGTCCTTTAATATCTACGTCCTCATTTTAATCTGAATAAGATTACATTTATATAACAATCCTCTTACCTGCAGGTAAAGTATGATCTTGCAGAGGAATGTGCCAAAGAACCAGGTCTCCGTCGTGTCCCAGACGACAGTCGTCGGCAGGCAGAACAGTATAACCAGAAAGTCAGCTACTGCCAGGTTGACAATGAAGTAGTTGGTGACTGTCCTCATAGCCGGCACCCTGTATACGACTAGGCAGACAAGCGTGTTTCCAGCCAGGCCGACCACGAAAACAATCACGTGAAGACCAATAAGGAACCACTCGTATAAAGTCGGAGTGACGTGTTCTCGAAGCAGGTCCAAATAATCCTCATCTTCCATACAATAGTCGTTCGTGCAGTTCGTTTGATTATCTGTCCTGTTGAACTGAAAAAAAGACAGTATTCAGTATGCAATGCAATTTCGATGGTTCATGCTTTTCAACTACTTGAACAAGAAGTTAAAAGTTCTGGTTCTAACAACTTGTGGTTGAAAGAGGAAAAGGACTAAAAGGTTATTAGGTTCCAACCGATTAAAATTTATCTTAGATCATGATCCTGTCATCATTCAGCCAAACATTTTATTGCATGAGGATAGCCACCATTGCTACATACAGCCAAAAGATGTATACAAAACTGCGAATGAAATAATACCTGACCTAAGACAAGACCACCGTAAAATCTTAAAAAAGGCTAAACTAAATGAAATAATTATAACAATGTTTGAGATCAAAACTTTGCACAAGAAATACTCAAAAAAACACGAAAATGTGTCAGATATACATACTGTTAGACTGCCAAACAAAATTGAAGAACCTTCTCCTACAACCTCTTCTCTCTCTCTCTTTTTCTGTCTTTCTCTGTCTCTCTCTCTCCCTCTCTCGCTCTCTGTCTATCTATCTAGCATTCTTTCTATCTACCTACCTTTCTTTCACTCACTCCCTCCCTCTCTCTCTTTCTTTCTCTCTCTATCTATCTCTGTGTCTATCTATCTATATCTATCTAACTACCTATCTTGAACTAACTACCTTTCTCTCTGTCTATCTCTCTCTCTCTCTCTCTCTCTCTCTCTCTCTCTGTCTCTCTCTCTCTCACACACACACACACACACACACACACACACACACTCACTTTCAATTGATTTATGTATATGTCTATAAGATTTATACATTTATCTAGTCCCACGTTCAATGGGAATGTATCAATGTAAATTGTTTATATGTACAATTAAAATTGTATTTTGCCTATTTAGTGTTCGAAAGTCAATCTTATGATTATTCACCCATCTTTATTCGCCAAACCGAAGAGATGAACTTTCTTTACACTTATATTCAAGCATAGGTGATTACGTTCTATTTTTTTAAAAAATTATATCAACAAACCAATTTTATTTTTTAAACAAAACTGAATGATACATTTAATATATAAATTAAAGTTTTATATTCCTGGTGAGTACATAATCTAGCTAGGTAATAAAACGTTATGGCTCTGTTCGACCATCCCTTCAATCCGTTTTGTTATCACTTAAACGTTTGATCTTTGTACAACTTACATGTCGGTGATGTAATCACCCTAAAGCTCAACAATTGAACGACTTGCTTTTAGCCAAGCCAATAGTATCTTACAAATTTTTAATTTTATAAATTAGTGTCTTTTATGGAGCATGAAGGTAGTTCAAAATATTGCTCATTGTGGTGTAATACAGTTTTCAAATCTTTGTAATTAATTGGAATTTGACTTCATTATATTGTTTATAGTCGTATCTTTGTACAAAACACCCAAAGCATAAGCTAAGTTCAATAAAAAATAAGCTAGATTGAACTAGATATATATGTAAAGAGAAAAACTGTGAGTTAGTAAGAAAGAGATTGTAAGAAAGTCAGAATGATCGAAATACAAAAGGTTAGTGAGAAGAAGAGAAATATAGAAAAAGGGAGAGGCACACTTCTAAGAGACAAATAACAAATAATCCAAAAACAAGGGGTTTAATTTATTCTTTCTGTACAAAATTTATACAATTAACAATGTGTTGGTAGTGAACTATAGAAGATCTGGCAGGAACCTGTCAAACTGCGGAGATGGAGCCGGACATTGTTGGAACTCTCGATGCTTAGAATTATTAGTTGATTGGTTTAGGGTTGCGTTAGGTCACGAGGCCACTGCATTTTTATTCGGCTTGAAGGATTGTTAGGGTGGGACGTTGAAGATAGGGCTTCAACTAGTGGTTTGGTGTGGAAGGAAAGCTTGGAGTTTGGAAGTTGTGATCATGTTTTGAGTGATGACACGATTGAGTTTCTTTACTTTCCTTTTTTTTTACTTTCTTATCGGATACTCAAAGGTAGTGTTGTTTTATCAGGGGGTATCGATGGCGTTGCCAGCGCGACTTTGCTCTGTTTTTCGGCCATTGGAACGAATATGAAGGGGAAGGATTTAAAGAGATTTGAGAGAGAGTAATTGTTCTAATTATATACCAGATTTAATGGGTATATTTAGATTTAACTAATTATTTATGATGTGCTGAAATAGGTCGCAATGTACAGAGCGGTTGATTTATGAAGGTCTGTATAAGGGAGATGTATCTAAGGTGTTCCAGTCGTTTAGCATTGTTTCGAATTCAAGTTTGTGATGTTATGTGGTTTAGTGGATCGAATCCAGAGAAAAATTGTGAGAGTCCGCGAGGGTGTCATCGAGATTTGGGAGTAGTTCCGATACAAGCGTGGTAAGTAGGGATATAAGTGGTGTGATTAAGGATTTGAAGTCGGTTAAGAAGGAAGTAATGAGAGTCATTATATCGTTAGGAGGAGTGGGGTGGAGGTTGGTAAGGTTGTTCTAACGGGGGGTTCAAAATAAAGTTTTGCCTTACTTCACAGCGCTCATTAAATAATTTGTACGCTTACACCACAGTTTATAAAGTTAGATTAGAAACTATAATAAATTTCTTGGCCAACCAAGAGCGGTAAGTTTTAAGAGATCTCCAAGATGAATAATATTAAATTACTGGCATAAAGTAGACAAGGATATGTTAACTTTTAAAAACAAAAACTTTTAAAATAAAACTTTACAATAGGTGAAAGATTGTTTAATTTGAGAAAAATACGGCTCAGGAACGAAAAACAGTGGTTCAATTTAAATTGACCGTCGCTGGTTTGCCAATCCTCGCTGTTATCATGCTCTTAGAATTCTTTCAAGTAATGTTCGATACAAAAAACAAGTGCACATCACACATGTTCTAAGTGTTTTAAATTTTAATTTTAATTTAATTAATTTTATGCAGTAATTCTACTTTAAGGGTGTTAGCCAAGTTGTTAGCGCGTCAGACTGTCGTCTTGTAGACCCCGTGGTCGTCTATATATAAATCAACAATAGCTCTACTCGACTTAAATTTTCAGCTGAATGTAAGCAACATATATAGAAATGCAAGATGATAAACAAAATCTAATTGCAATGCAAAAGACAATAGTGTAATACAATAATACTGTAGCTTTTCGATCATTTTGCTCTGCTTCATCAGCAGTGGTTTAGTGATTAATTTCATTTGTTTGAATACACAAATTCAAACATAAACGTTGAACTCGGCTAAACTATTAAACTTGTATGTTTGCAACTCTTCGCATTTGGTGATCAACATATTTGGTAAGTGATTATTATCGAAAAAAATATTTTGAAATTTGTATGAGAATTTTTATTTAAAAAAATACATTCTCTTTATCCTTCTTGCACGTCCAACTGCAGCATTTTTTTTAATCTAAACCGTTTTAATTTACCCCTTATTGCTCTCATTTCGCAAAATTTTATTCCTTCCGAATAATCATTAACTAACGGTCACTAAACACCACACATTTATTCCTTCCCTTCATCAAATAATAAAATTTATAAGCGAAAAAGATAAAAGCAAAATAAACCATTAATGCATCACTGACGACGGTGAACGATCAAAACAGTTAGGACAGGCAGACCAAATGACCGGAAACCACGAAACAAGAATTAAAACAAATATTTCTTGTCATCTTTGGTAGTCCATACATTTTTTCCATAATCTACACCATTCATTCTTACCATTTTGATTTAATTGTTTCTCAAAATTGAATACTTCTTTTCTTCATCAAATAATAAAACATATAAGAACAGACCTATGATTACAACAACATAACAACTTGGACAGAACAAAACAGCAAAAATACGAAGACCAAAATGATCATAAACGATCCAACTAAAATTGTAAGTAAAAATTAATTTTATCTACACTCTTAATTATTCTAATCCGTCCTTTCTTACGATTTCACGTTTATATTCACAAAAGTTGAATAATCCTTTCTTTCGTCAAAACATAAAAATTATAAAGGGAAAAAATAAAAAATAGAAAATAACGCACTATTCCACTACTGAAGATGACGTAGAGTTCAAACGCTTCTGACAGAAAGAATGATTGGAATCAACTAAGTATTTGTCATTTTGTCGTCGTTTTTGTATGTCTATCAAAAACAGGTGTCTTTTTAAATAATTTACACAGTTTCTGTTAATAAATCACACCAACACACAAATACAATTACTCCATTCCCCACAATTACCACGTAAACGTTTGAAAAGAATATGGATAAGAGACCTCTTAAATGATTAATATCATTTCATTAATCCAGAGCGGCTGCCAATGGGTAGCTTTCTCTATAACGTCCATAATGCCAAACACATAATCTGAAATCCAATCTGCTGGTTGTATATAATACATGTACAGTTGTAGATACAAATAAATGAAGTAAAAAAAAAGTTTCTGTTAAAACAATTAAGATAGTGGTACCGCAAAAGTTAAATATTCCCTTCTATAACCAAAAGATAAACTTACAAAGGAAAAATGTGAAAATAAAAACATGCAAGGAAGAAAAAGGAAAGCGACCAAATATCCTACCACTGATGATAGTGTGAACCCGAAATCGCCGGACAGACTAAAACAGCAATAGGCAGAATAGGCAGGCAGATCAAAGTGATTGGAAATAAAAGTTTAAGTTAATAAATTTTTTTTCAGATCCAAATCATACCATTTTTGATCATTATTGCGTTTTTTCTTACGATTTTACGCTAATTGTTAAGGGCAATTTTAATATTCCTTTCCCTTGTAAAATAAAAACATTTATAAAGGAAAGCAAACAATGATGATGGTGAACGACTAAAACGAGTCTAACAGACAAAAAGATAGGAGGACAAAACTGGTGCCTTTTTAATCTAAACCGTTCTTTATTAAGATTTATGTTCATAATTTCAGAATGTGGAATATTATTTTCCTTTAAATAATAAAACATATAATAGAAATTTTTAGACATGTAGAATGACCAAAATGATCGGAAACGACTAAACTAGAATTTTAATTTAAAATGTTTTTTGCAGGTATCTTCC